CCCACACCCTACTGCCTGGACCATTACCTGGCCTTCCCATTGGTCAGCCTGCCTCAGAGTCCACTCCGTCACCGTCCTCACACTAGTCTCTGATAGGGCTTTCTCACTCAATCTTCCTGCTCAGAATCCTGCCTAAGACATCGGATCCAGCCGCATTCATTGATGGCTGTCCTTTCTCATTGAAGCTGAGCTCTCCCTCAACTCCTGCTCTTTGACCTACCTGGGCCTCATTTTTGACACTCTCTCACCCTCATGCCCTACAGTCAGCCAATCACCACATCCCATCCCCACCGCCACCGCTGGCCCCCTGCCACCACGGTATCTCACACCCTCCTCACAGCTGACCCCTCTTGCCCTCCCGTAGGCCTCCCACAGCACGTGGAATCCTCCGCCAAAATGTCTATCGAATCTTATCTTTCTCCTCCTTAAAGCTGGTGAGTGTCACTCTACTTGAGGAAAGTCTTACGTGACCTACAAAGCCCTGTTTGATGTGATCCAGACATTGCTTGTTGCCTCAGGGCCATCATCTCCTCTGTTCCCATTGCCTTTCCCTGCACTGTTTGCCTCCGGATGGTTGCATTGCTGTGGTTGAAGTGTCACCTCCTCAGAAAACTCCTCCACAACAGGCCACCACCCATCTCACATAAACTTTCATCTTCTTCCTCTTCTTTTTAAAAGATTTTATCCTGGTTTATTTACAAAGTTTGAATTAATTGTTTTTCACAAAAGATCCTACCCATTTCCTTCACCCCACCCACCCTCTTTCTCTTCTTGAAAGCTGTCCCAACTTGGATTTATACACTTATTTGAGGGGCTTGAAAAACACTGTTTAACTTCTAAAGACTAGACATTAAGTGGGGAGAGAAAAGTGCATCTTTGTTTTGCTTTCAGCCACCATATTCTATGTGCCCAGGGATGGCTGGCAGCCGTTGTCACCTGCTAGTGAGTTTGCCCTAATATCACGGTGGCTCTTGGCACTAGGAAATGCAACGAGGCCTGGGTCTATGGCATCCTCAACATCAGCTGCAGATTGAATGATGACCCACAGGCTCATTTTCAGACTAGATCACCAGGCCTTTCTGGTCTGTGTTAGTCTAAAAGTCCCACTGAAGCAAGCCTGCGCATATCATAGCAGCAAGTCAGCCTCTAATAATGGTGCAGAGACCAGGAATTGAACTGGGGTCTTCCTCATGGCAAGCGAGAATTCTACCAGTGCACCAGTCCCAGTGATGGTTTATGGGAGTGTTTTAATCCCCTCTTGTCTTTCCCTTTGGACCATGAACTCCTCGAGGGCAGGTTCCAGATCCCATTCATCTTTCCATCCTCAGCCACAACACAAGCTTGACACTGAGGGGCAGGGAGGAAATATTTGAATGGAAGGAAATGGGGAAGGATCGGTCTACCTTCAGGTGAGATCAAGGGTACAGTTCACTGCTGAATGTCACATTGGTTCTAAAGGCTGTCCGAGTTGGGATGTGGCCTGTGGGGTGGGGGGCATCTCCGTGGACCTCAGCAGTCCGGGAGTGGCATGTTGTCTCCACTGGCAGATGGGGAGCATTTCAGGACACCAAGGAGGAGGACACGCTGTGTGACTCAGGGCAGGTGACTTCACCTCTCCGAGCCCCAACTCACCAGTAAAATGAGGATAGTAGACTTTACTACCTCAGAGTCTTTTGAAGATTAGAGATAACATTGGGGCTCAAGAAGCATAGAAGAGACGGCATCGATGCTGCTGCTGGTGAGGAAGAAGAAATAGAAGTGTGCTGGACGTTCCTAAGCAAAACTCAAGGCGATCCATAGCGTTTGTTATTGGCCGACTTTGACTTTGACTTGACTTTGGGTTGCAGGAGCCCTGAGGCAGGTGCAGAAATTGTCAAAAGAAACATGAGCCCTGAAGCCAGGAAGATGAGGGAGAGGTGAGCAAGCAGTGGCCACTTGCTGAGGCTGGGAACAGACAGGACGAGCCCTTTGTCTGCATGTTGGCCACCACTGCATCCACTTACTGCCTGTTTGGGTTCTTGGGCCAGCCTGCCCTGAGCCTCTATGCTGCCTCTACCCTGCGTCTGCTGAAGACCCCTGTGCTTGGATGGAGGAGGGTGGATGGACAGAGAGCTTGATGTCAGTGAGCCCCGGGTTGTGGTTCACCTTGAGGCCCAACCATTGACCCACCGTGTGGTCTGGGCCCTGTCTCCCCATCTCCCGGCAAGCTGAGGGTCTGGGGATGTCTCTCTGAGCACCCACAGACTGCAGCTCTGTGGTTGATGACAGTACCTGTGGGAGTAGACCCCTTGGGTCCCCATGCGGAGTGGGGACGTAGCGAGGGTGCTGAGTGGAGAGGTCACCAGAGACAGCTGAAGTCCAGAGAGCAGCTGGGAGCTGAGCCATAGAGGGGGTCCCCAGGGGCAGCCAAGAGGAAGAGGCCATGGCTGGGGGGAGGGCCTGAGGGGTGAGGAATTCCTCTCTGTTGTCCCCGGTGGGCCAGCTGCTCCCCCCCTCCGACTCCCCGCCGGGCCCCCGGGGGACCTCGCTCTAATAATGTATTTGATCGACTTGCCGGCCGCGTACAAGCGATTATTGTCTTGTCGGGAGTCAAACGTATCGATCCGGCGAGAAATATGAGCAGAGCAATGGGGCCCGCGTGTCAGTTACCAGCCCCGCTGGCCCTGGGGAGCCCCCTATGTCTCCTTTAATTACCGCTCAGCCCTGAGCCCAGCCTGGCCTCACCTGCACTGCCTCCCTTCTTGGGCTCCCACACCCCGAGTGGCCCCTCGCTATGCCCCAGCTTCCATGCCCTACCTGCCTTGCTCATCATGGCTTGAGGTCTCTTATCTAGTTGGGAGGCCACCATTTTGCCCCACCTGGGCCTCACTGCTTTAGCTGCCAGGTGCTACTACCCAGGGTGTCCTCTGCCCTTCTTTCCTCTCCCCACCAGGCTCACCTTCCTTCAAGACCCTGCTACCCAGGCAAGCCCAAAGAAACCCACAGGGGAGGTGTGGGGTGGGACTTTACATCCTCCAAGAGTATGAAAGGACTTATCCACTCCCCGCTCAAAAGCAGACCTGGGAGGCCAGCTCCCTAAGGGCCTTGCAGGGTAGATCCAAGGCAAACGCCTGGACCAAGGAAGATGGTGCAGGCTGGTGAGGAACAGCAGCACTGACACGGTGGGAGCAGAACCTCCCTCTGGCAGGGCCGACTGGGCTCACAGAGCAAGGAGGGCCCTTCTGGGGGGCGTTCTGACACATGAGTGACAGCTGAGGATCCTGGCATAGATGGCATCGGATATGGCCCGGTGGAGCATGGGAGTGGTGGCTTGGGAGGGGTTTGGCCCTCCATAATGTCCTTACATGCTCCAATCTCCAGTCCCCACCAAACCCCAAACAATCCTAAATCCAAAGGGTGCTTAGTGGACAAAGACGATCAAGGCAACTCTGGTCCCCCTCTGCCCGCTGATGTGGAAGCAACTGAGGCTGCTGTTGAAAGGACACTTGCAGAGAGGGAGACCAAGAGGCAGGATGGCAGAGGGGCCCCCTGTTGCTCTGTGTCCCTCCTCCAAGAAATTACTTTGGTGAGATGGGATGTAAAGTGGAGATGGCTGGAGATGCCCCTGTGTGTTGACAGGTTCCTCCTGAGGGTCTCCTCCGTACACCTGACCTAGAGGGCTGTCTGGGTGCACGAGTTCCACAGTCAGAGGGGAGACACTGGTGTGGACTGGCCTGCTACATGGGTACACGAGTGCAGATATGCCCAGAGCCCACAGGTCCACGCGAGCGGCTGAGAGGGTAGAGAGAGAGGGCTCATGATGGGGCAGGAGCACTAGACGTGTGTTCGTGGTATCCACGTGTGTGCGAAGCGCAGGGTCCGCGTGCAGAAACAGCTGGGCGCGCGCGTGTGTGTATGTGTGTGCGCGCACGCGCGCGAGCAGCCTGCCCCGTGGGCGCGCGTGTTGGGGGCTCGCGCGTCAGCATGAGCGTCTCCTGCGGGCCCCGGGGGTTGCTTGGAGGCGCCGGGCGGCTGGGTAGCCACGGCCACGGCGGCCAGGAGGGGACGGGGCCGCGCCGGCCGCGCCTTTGTTTGCGCCGTGCGCCGGGAGCCCTGCGCCTTTGTGTGACCCTCGCAGGTGTGCGCGCCGGGCGGGGGCGCGGAGGGGAGCGGAGCGGAAGAAGGGGCGCCCCCTCCGCGGCGGCCCCGCCCTCCGGCCCATTGGCTGAGCGCTGCCGCCCTCTGGTGGGCTCGGCGGGAAGCGCGGGCGCCGCAGCGCGCGGGGCTGACCGGCCGGCAGGGGACTCAGCTCTCTCCTCCACCGGGGACCCCTTGGGTCCCCGCAACGGCCCCTGGCTGGCTTCTCGCAGCCCCCGGCCAGCGCTCTGAGCCACCGCCTGCACTGCTCCTGCTTACTGCTCCTTCCCAGTGCTGTTTGTTCCCAGACGCCTCACCTGCAGACAGGTGCGCGGCTCGGCCCTGCCTCCCGCCAACCCGCCGCGGCCACCTCCTCCCCGTGCGCTCCTTGCCCAAGCACGTCTGTGGGCTGCTGGAAAAGTCACCTGACTTAGCGGACGCTCGGTCTTTTCGTCTGTAAAATGGGGTACACAGTAGTCCCTCCTGAGGGCGCTGCTGTGAGGCCTCGGCGAGGTGACGCCTGGCAGGTGCGAGGCGCTGGGATCAGCATCGGAAAAGCGACATCCGCGCCTCAAAGTTGCTGGCGAGCGTTCCATTTTTGTTACTGTGGGCCTTCCCTCTCTTCCTGACCGTGACCCCCCAGCGCAACTGTCCCTAGACCTTGGGGGGCATCTGGAGGGGTGAGCCCTTCCAGCACCTTCCCCTGCCCCCACCCCACCCCATCGGGGTGGGCTCCTGGGCAGGCACCGGCTTTGGGGCATTTTCCCTTCCGAAGGGGGCGGCCCGGCCCTGCGGTTTCCTCCCTGGGTGGCTTCCGGCGGGGAGGGCTTGGCCCTCAGAGGGCGGGGAGATGACACAGTTGTTCCCGCAGCCCCGCCGGCGAGAACATGGTTCACTCCAGCATGGGGGCTCCAGGTAAGAGTCTGCTCCGCGGATGGAGAGGACACAGGGCTTTGGGCTTTGCGCCTCTGACCTTCCTCCCCGCAGTCCCCTTTGCCCTTTCGCTCTGCCCTTTAGTAACCCCTTCTTCCCGCCCTCTGAGTCCCCAGTGCCTCAACCGCCTCTTTGTCCTCAACTTCCAACACCCCTGTCTTACCACTACTGTCTTGCTCTGTGGGGTGAGGAGGAGGTGAAGCCAAGTTTGGTGTGTCAAGCCCTTAAAGTGAATTGGGGGACATGGGTCATCTTTGGGTGAAGATTGCAAAGGAGTTGGACTTGGGGCAGGTGTTCTACTTTTGAGTGTCTGTGTTTTAAGTCATTCTGAATGTGACAGTCACGTACCTGTGTGTGAGTGAGTGTGGGGGGCTGTTTTGTGCACCATTGTAAGGATAACCTTGACAGTGATCTCTTGGCACACTCTCATCTCTGACAACCCCTAGATCAGCACTGATTCCATCATCCTGTGCCCCCCAGCCTGCCTTCTCTTGTCTTAGATGCTCTTCCCACGGTTGAAGTTTGACTCTGTTTGTATGCCCGTGAGCCAGCCTCCCCATCAAATTTCAGCTGACGGCGTGAACACTGTGTACCAGGCAGTATACAAGGAGAAATTTTTATTTGTCAGCTCAATTAATAGAAGAACACCTTTGCAGAATGATAAAAGAGCCCTGATGGCGTCGTGAGTAACATTTCAGGCTCCTAACCAAAAAGTCAGCAGTTCAAATCCACCAGCTGATGAGCAGTTTCCTTCCATAAAGATTTGCCAGCTTGGAAACCTGATGGATGGTTGCTGTGAGCTGGAACTAAGTGGATGACAGTGAATTTGGTTGGGGGTTTTTGCATAATGATAATGATTACTTGGCAGTGTTGGTGGGAGGGTTAAGTGAGACATTATTTGTAAACTGTTAGCATAGTGTCTGGAATACGCACGATAAGCATCCAAACGTGATGATGGTCATTTCGCTGTGGTCAGTTATTCTTGCTCTTGAGTATCTGCAGGTAAGGGGTGTTCGTCATCCTTCCCCAACACACTTTGCTGAGCCCTCCTGGGCTGGATGTCAGGAAAACAAATGGAGAAGAGGAAGCTCTGGTCCTGTGTCCCTGGAGTCCTCAGTCCAGGGCAGAGAGCTGGACCTGTCAGCCGATAGTGACAGCTCAGAGGCGCTGCGGCTGGCATGGTGTAGTGTGGGGCTTGTAGAAGCCCAGAGACAGCACAGAGGCCTTCCTGGAGGAGGGGATGGCTAAAGTGAGATCTGCAGATAAGTGGGTGTGAGTAAGCAGAGGAGGCAAGGTGGGCTCTGAGATGGCTTGTGTTTATTTATTGTAATGACTGCGTAGCTGAGCTGTGTGTACGTGTATGTGTGTCACACAGAGCAGTCACAGAGTCCTCTGTCTGCACACACAGTGTCTGCTTCCACACTGACTCTGTTCCTATGTGGGGCTGAGTGGGGACCTTGTATGTGCGTGAACATCAGGGCTCTGTGCTTAAATGGGCTGAAGTGACTCAGAGAGTGTGAGTGTGTGTGTGTCCAGTCATATGTGGCTGTGTGTATATCTGACTCTGTGTGTGTGTGATCTGAGAGTGTGTGCATCTGGTCATGTGTGACTGCGTGTGTATCTGTGTGTGACTGAGTATGCAAGCCTGTATAGATCTGGCTGTATGTGACGGCATATGTGTGAGAGTGTCTGTGCCTGACTCTGTGTGTGTGACTCAGAGTGTGTGTGAGTATGTACATATCTACCGACTGTATGTGACTGAGTGTGTATGTGTGTGTGTGTGTGTGAATGCCTGACTGGGGCTGCTCGTGTATATGTCTGAGCATGTGTTTTGCATACCGACCATGTCATCATGCCTAGTCATGTGTCTTTTTCTGCAGCCTGTGCCCCTTCCTGCCTGTGACCTGTGCTCACCTGTTTCAGGAGTGTGTTTGCATGCTCTCCTGCCGTGCCCTTGGCTGGCCCTTGCTTGTTGTTGGCACAGCTGTGAGGCCACCTCTCTTGCTCTGTTTGCTGTCCATATCTCCATCCCTTCCTCCTGACATCTCAGGAGCGCTCCATCCTGCAGCACCACCCAGGGCCAGCTGCAGGGCTAGGCAGGTGTGGGGGGAGGCAGGGGGGTGTGAGGCGTTGCTCTTGGGGAGCCACAAAGGTTCCCAGCAACAGGGACCCTGCCCACAGGGGCTCCCGGGGGCACCGCCTTGATTGAGACTGGCTGCGGGGGCAGGGGACCCAGGGGACAGGCCAAGTGGGGCTGGGAGGGGTGAGGGGCAGCCCTTGGGCCCTCTATATTTAGTCCCATTTTCGGTAAGTGCTAACGAGAAGCTGGCTCAAGTCTGCTAAAACTGGCTGGGGGAAATGCAGAGGAGAAGTGAAAGTCCAGGGAGGGCAGAGAGGGAGGGCAGGGAGGACCCAGAGCCCAGCAGGCAGATCAGCCAGCGGGACCAGGGCTGGGGACCCTTGGTGGGCTTGACCCAAGAAGGGAAGGAATCAAGTGGCCTTGCCAGGCTGGGCTTTGCTTTCCCCTGTCCGTTCCACTTAAATGTCCTCACCAGGGAGGGCCAGGGGAGGGAAGTGACACTGAACCATAATTGACAACTGACTTTCTGTGTGACTGAGGCATCCAGAGGGCCCAGAAGGTGCCAGTGCATGTTAGGATGGACCTGGAGCGTTAAAAACCTGAATTCTCGGGTCACACCCCGGCCTGAGTATGGGAGCAGGTGGCTGCAGAATTTCTTTGGAAGCTGAGATCAGGGACCCTGCCCACTAGGTGGGCTTAGCTGGCCTCTTGAGGGTCCCTCCAGTTCCAGCCCGAGAGTCCACCATTCAGGTGTTACATGTGGCTTTTTGTCCCTAATTTGGCAGGTGGGCATGATTTGATGAGGCCCTTATCTTTGGGCTTGGGGAGCAAGGAAGAGAGGGCAGAGAGGTGTGCACGGGGCAAGGATAGAGTGAGCAGGTCATCCCAGGAGCAGTGGGCACAGGTCAGGGATGGAGTGAGCGGGCCGTGCTGGAAGAGATGGGCACACGGGGCAGGGGTGGAGTGAGTGGGCCGTGCCGGGAGAGGTGGGCACGGGGCAGGGGTGGAGTGAGCGGGCCGTGCCGGGAGAGGTGGGCACGGGGCAGGGGTGGAGGGAGTGGGCCGTGCCAGGAGAGGTGAGGAGAACTTGAGGTAGACTGGCTGAGAAGGCTATATGTTGGACTGCTAACTGAAAGGTCGGAGGTTTGAATCCACCAGGTTGCTCTGAGGTGAGGCTGTCTGCTCTTTTAAGATCTCTTGTCTCAGAGACCTGATGAAGGGACGTCATGAGTTAGAATTGACTTGGCCACAGTGAGTTTAGGGAGAAGAAAAGCAGCCCAGGTAGCTTGGTGTGTTACTGGCTGGGCTGCTGAAGGAAATGTCAGTGGTTTGAATCCCTCAGCTGCTTGTCAGGCAGTCTGACTCCAGGCACTGTGTTTCTGGGAGGCAAATACTCACATTCCCTCAGACCACGGTTGTCTTTCCCCATGAGGGACCTTGACTTAGAGCCCAGTTAGGGGGAAGGTGGGGTTGGATAACAGCAGATTTCGAGGTCTTTCATTCCAAGAACAGAGTTTCAGCTCTGGATAGTGTGACTCCAGATAGTAGCCCTGGGCTACTGTGTGTGATGGAGAGCAGTGCAGGCCAGGAGGAGCCTAATGAGAGAATTGGGGAGGGCTTCATAGAGGTGCTGATATGTGAGCCAGGGCCCCAAAGAGAAGTTGGAGTTTGCCCAGAGAGGAGGAACTGGTCATCAGGCAGAGAAGAGCAGAGGCAAAGGCCTGGAGGAAAGGTGTCCATCTCTGGTCCACACACCCTGAGCAGGTTGGGGACCCTAGAATGAGCCGGACCCACCTTTGGACGCTTCATCAAGGACACAGCCTGCACTGGGTCCTGGATGAGCAGGAGGTGGACAGAGTGGGGAACAGCATCCTAGGGAGAGGAGACACTGGAACCTGGGGAAACATTTGTTAAAGGGCAGAGAGACAGATGGACAGAGGTAGGACAGGTAAGGCTCAGAGAGAGCTGCAGGAGGGTGAGGGGAGGGGCTGTTCCTTCATTTATTACCGATCCTGAGCTTTGTGCTGCCAGGGATCCAGGGATCCATCGCAGATATCCTGCCCTGCGAGTCTGCTGGGAGGAAGATCTGGACGCAGCCTTGGGACAGCGGGAGGCCAGGGGCCACGGGGGGGCCGAGGAGGCTCGAGGCCTTTCTTGGATGGGATGAGGTCAGAGCTGCTGTGGTCTTTAACAGGAGGGGCATTCTCTAGCCAGCCAGGGTGTAGAAGCTTCCTCCAGCACAGAGGGGCTGAAGAGCTTCTGTGTGATGGAAAGGGGCCAGGGATAGGTAGTGGAGGAGAGAAGGGGTCACCCCTGAAGGCCTGGCAAGGAGCATGAGGTGGGGAAACTGAGCTGGACTTCCAGGGTGGTAAGGAGGTTGGGACTTAGGGCAGGTCAGCCAACACCCAAGGCGGCCATTGGGCCAGTTCCCACTCACAGTGACTGTGTGGGACAGGGCGGAACCTCTTCACAGGTTTCCAAGACTGTCATTCGTTATGGAAAGAGACTGTCACATCTTCATTCTGCTGAGCAACTGCTGAATGTCAACCTGGGACTTCTGTTGGCACCTGAGTGCTTAACCACTGTGCCACCATGGTTCCTCTGGTGTTACTGGATTAGTCAGAATCTGACTACTGTTTGCTGTTTGCGCAGCTGCTCTGGAATCAGGAGTGAGGTCTCATCGCCAGGCTCCTGGGGTGTCTGCCCACCTGTCCTATTAGCCCCTTAAGGATCCTCCATCCCCAGAAGATCCTAGTCCACGTCCCAGTGTCCACCAGCCATCACCTCCTCAGGACTCTGTGCTTTGTTCATTACCTGCCTTAATATTTTTTTCTTTTGTGAAAATATATAATTTACATATAGTAAAAACCTAAAATTTTAAGCTTACAGCTTGGTGAATTTTGCATACATGTAGTGACAATATGTCAGAATTGAAGCCAATACGTATAAATATTTTTTTAAAAAGTCAGTTCAGACTGCGGAAATACGCAGTCAAGGCCTGAACTTCTTAAATAAATAAAACACAAAACTAAAAAAAAAAGTCAGTTCACTAATTCATACTCAAGGTGGACATTCTTCCTGTTTCTGAGGCTGTAAACCTTTACAAGAGGAGAGTACCCATCTTTCTCCGTCAGTGGGATTTGAACAACACATCATCAGCCCAATACAGCACCCACTATGCCACCAGAGTAGGGATTCATGAAAACACCAAGCAGATCAAGATACAGCCTGTTCCCAATCCCCTGGTCAGCTTCCTCATGTCCTTTCCATTGCACCCCAAAACACCCCACTAATCTGATTGTTACCCTCTGAGGCTTGACTCCCAGGTCTTGGGGGATGTTATTGCTCCCAGGAGCTCCCCTCCTTTCTCTCAGCAGGATATCTGTGGACATAAGGAGTTTGTGGGAACTGGGAGTTTATCCTCGGTTACACTGGAGCGTTCCATGCGTGGATACACCCTGTGTTGTTTATTCATTCACCTGCTGGTGTAGGCTGGGTTGCTGCCAGTACCGAGGTCTCAGGAAAACCTGTGGTGAACGTTTGTGTCCATCAGTTTCATGGGCATGTGCCCGTTCCCCTGGGGCAGCTGCCCAGGAGTGGCCCTGCTGTTCTATTAATTTCTACCGAAGAGTGCTTGTACTACTTTACACGCCCACCTGAAATGTAAAGCCTTGAGATTTTCGATTAGGAATTTAAAATCTGAGTGGTGTTCCTGTTACGTTATCCTCGCATAGTAAAATTCCTGAACACCCTGCTCCAGTGGGTTCTTTTTCCCTGTTGCTGAGAATTTCCTGTCCCTCCCCTGAGCTGGTCATCTTGAACTATTTTAGGATCAGAGCGAGCTAGAGTTGAACAGCTCCTTTGATAAGGATGGCGTTGTGGTTTAGGTGAAAATTTCAGACTGAGTTCTAGGGGCAAATTGAAGGTCTTGAATAAGATCTGAGGTTGAGTGCAGAGTCAAGGTCAAGTGAAGGACTCGGATCATATGGACTTAGTGAGCAGGGGGTGTTGAATGTCACCACACACCAGAACTGACCCAGTGACAGGAGAGTTTCAGTTGAAAGATGACTGAATGGAGTCCCTGGGTGACACGAATTTGACTGCAAACCAAAAGATTGTTGTTGCTGCTGCTGCTGTTGTTGTGTACCTTCAAGTTGGAACCGACCCATGGAGAATTTTCAGAGGCAGTAAATTGAAGCAGGAGCGGCATCCACTTCCGTAATAGCTTGCCTCCGGAAACACTGTGAATCTGGAGAGAGGACGAGAGACATACAAGTGTTGACGACTCTCCTTCATAGGGTCGCTAAGAGTCGCCTGCGACTCGACGGCACTTAACGACAACAAATTGCATGAGAGGAAATCGCTTCGAAACTTGTTCCTTTGCAGCACAATTCCTTTCTACTAAGCCACCAGAGCTCCCTGAGGTCAGTGGTTTGGGTCCACCCTTAAGGGCCTCAGAAGGAAGCCCTACGGATGTGCTTTGGGAAGGCCACACCCCGACATCTCGGGGAGCCCGGTTCTGCTCTGCGGTGTGTGTGGAATCTGCTTCACTGAAAAGGGTCTCGTTTTGTATTTTAAAGAGATTGAGAGTGAGGTACATTCAGCCTGGACGTGCCTCGGATCAGGGCCAGAGAACACTGGGCTTGAGACGTTGTCCACATGGGTTAGGGCTGGAGGATGTTGGGAGTGAGGTGAGAAGTCGAGGTTGGTGCCCACTGTGGTCCTGGTTAGAATTAGGATCTCTGGCCTCATGAAGACCTGGTGGTCCTTCTCCTGTTACAGAGACCCTTTCGTAGAACCCCACTACCTTCCTCCATAAAATACCAACTGCTGACGGGAGTTGGTCGTTGTAAGGCGTGAGGCCCTGCTGGGTGTTATTCACCTTCTAGGCCTGTCTCTGGTTTGACAGGAAGTTGAGCCTCAGGGGTGAGTTCGGTTCCAGGCTCATAGGGTTGCTTACAGTTGTAGTTTTGGGGACCTGAGAGCCTGGTTATTTTTGTGACATTGGTTTTGTTCCATATTTTTCTCTTGGTCTGTCCTGGATCCTCTGCTGTGACCGCTCTCAGCGTGGTCGGCAGGGACAGCGGGCACCATCCAGTTCTTCAGGTGTTGGAGTCATGGAGGTTGAAGTTCATGTGGTCCGATCGCTGTTGAACCAGAGGAGGGACTTTTCTGTTGGTTTGTGTCCTCTCCTTCTCAGCTTGATTCCTGACACCCTCCCTTGGAGGCTTGGTTCATGTCTGGGGCCCAGGAATTACGGAAGGGAATTATGTTTGTAGGGGTGATATATTTAGACTGGGCTGGACGTACAGAGGGGTTCAAGGCTGAAGTTCCAGGCCAGGGCTTGGGTTAGGTTAGGGGAACAAGGTCCAGGGCAGAGCGGATGGAGTGGGGAATGTGCCGAATGCAAGAAAGCGAGCCAGGTGGGAGTGAGATACAGACAGGAAAGTGGTGGGCCGGGGCTGCGAGGGTCCGAGGGCGGCTGAATCACACGTGTAGGTCTGACAGCTGAATCCCGTCCCATCACACCCCCCGGGTCCCACTCAGAGCGGAAAACTTGTCTCACCCGAAACCTTGCGAGGCAGGACAGCCGAGGTTGGAGGAGGGCTACGCTTGCTCTCACCCCTTTGGAACATCGCCTGCCACTTCCCGGGGGGGCTGATGGCTTCTCTTGACCCCTCCTGCCTCCATCGCAGGGCCTCACAGTGGGTGACACTGGTGTGCCAACTTCTGAGAAGATGACAGGGATCAGATCCCCGGCCTCCCAAAGGCACCTCTTGGGTCCTACTGGACCAGGGCAGAATGAGGGTCTGTCTGTTGGGAGGATCACGTCCGAGGTAGCAAGGCCAAGGGCTGGAGCTAGGGGAGAGGCATGGGACTCCCTTGGCTTCCCAACTCTCACCCCTTCACTCCTCCTCTGTCCCCAGAAATAAGAATGTCTAAGCCCCTGGAGGCCGAGAAGCAAGGTCTGGACTCGCCGTCAGAGCACGCAGGTAGGGGGGGGGGGCAGTGGGTCCTTGTGATCACCTGGAGGGTGGCAGGGAGGGGGCAGGTGTGGTGGGAGACCCCCGGTCACAAACTGGTGCCAACTCTGCCCTCTCCCTCTCTTTGCAGACACCGAAAGAAATGGACCTGACACTAACCATCAGGTGAGGAAGGCAGTGGGGTGAAGGGGGCCGAGGGGGCCGGGGCAGAACGGGGCCGGGAGGGGCAGAAAGGGTGTTGAGCAGCTCTACCTCACTGGCCATCTCCCCACCCCTATTTTCTCTTCTCAGAACCCCCAAAATAAGACATCCCCATTTTCTGTGTCCCCAACTGGCCCCAGCACCAAGGTAAGCACCCTTAGAATAATAGCCAGGGAAGATAGGGAAGTGGCCTTGGGGTGGGCAGGATCTGGGAAGGGCTGGTCAGCCTGGACCCAAGGAGGTACCTTGTCGGAGAAGTTCCTCCCACCCTTTTCACCCTCGGGTTCCCGCCCCAGGCCTGTGACTCACCCAGGCTCCTTCCCCTTCCCTGGGGGGTGGGGGTGACCAGGGAAATCCCCCCCAGGGCCCCAGGGCGATGAACAACAGGAAGCTGAGGGCCCGCCCCCATCCCGACTTCCCTGACAGAACAGGGCCTGTGCCACCCCCCACCTCCCGCCCCAACATACCCGGGGAGAGGGCCAGAGATGCAGTGAGGGGTCTACGTGGTGGGGTTACAGTGAAAAAGATGAGGGAGGCAGGAAGTGGCCAGACCATGTCTCTTCCAAACGCAGGTGGGCCAGGCCACTGAGCACTGCCGGGCCACCTCAGTGCTTCCCGAGCCAGGCAGATCTGGGTCAGCAGGTGGCCCAGGGGCCTGAAGGCAGCACGGGGGTGCGGGCAGCAGGGACATGAGGGTCCATGGGTCTCTGATCACAGGTAGCAGGGGATGGCCGGGAGGCTGAGACCTTGCCCTCTGTTCACCTCAGACTTGCTCTGTGACCCTGGGATAGTCACTTCCCCTCTCTGGGATCTTTAGTTTCCTCTTGTCTAATATGGGATGGGACAGGGTAGGGGCACAGGCTGGAGGGCATCAGCGGTCCCCTCTCCCTCTGCAGTTGTGGGCGGACAGAGTGCTCTGTAAGCTGCTGTCCTCCGTCCACCGTGAGCACTGGAGTGAGAACCCTGGGCAGAAGGGGCTCTGACCTTCTCTGTCCTCAGTCTCGTAGTATCCTCCATGCCCAGGGTGTGTCCATCCTCCACTTCCCCCAACTCCCTCCTTGGCTCAATCTCATCTGGCCTCCTCCATCTTCTAACAGACTGTGTCCGTCCTCTGCACCCCCCCCTTGGCTTAGTCTCCTTTGGCCTCCTCCATCCTGGGCCCCTAGTCTCCTCCATCCCGGGCCCCCAGCCTCGTCCATCCCGGGCCCCCAGCCTCGTCCATCCCGGGCCCCCAGCCTCGTCCATCCCGGGCCCCCAGCCTCGTCC